TCTCTTGTGTTTCTCAGTGTTTCAGACTGAGTACCTGGCAGGCTCATACAACAAAATGTTATCCTTTCAGTGATATGTTTCAAAGCTCAGTTAGACACAAGATATAGACACATCAGATATTTTATTCTTGATCTCCACCATCTTCGGGAACTGTACAAGGAGCACTTCAATGATTTGAAAGATAGACTACATTAAGCAATAAGTAATTTTGGTTTAAGTTTAATATTCTGATCGACTTCATTTTGTCTTTAAAAGTTCCAGGGTCCTGCATACTCCACGGAGACAGGCACCTTCTATCTTATGTACCTGGTTCAGAAAGAATCATGTCTGGGAATTCCTTTGACTAAGTAGGGAGCTTAGATGACTGTTAGACCTGTCACCCTAGCTTTAACTAGAGTTAAATGAATTGACAACTCCTCAAGCTGTGAAAACATTTAGGACAAAATAATGTCTTACTCTGGCTTTCTCAGGAGGTTTAAGCAGAAAAATATTACTTTTGTCCTTGCTTAGAGTTCCAGCAGGAAATGGAACCAAAGCTTAACTGTCCAAAGAGGCTACGACTCCACATCAAGCAAGACCCTTGGAACCTCCCCAGCAGTGTCCGGAGTCTTGCCCAGAATATCAGAAAATTTGTTGAAGGTTAGTAAGAACAACATGACCATAAATAAACACTTCATTAACGATAGAGAGCCTGGGGAAGGGAAGGGGAAAGATACAACTGCTTCATGTTGCTGCTAGGCAATATTTGCTGAACACAGTATAGTCTATGGGAAATGCCTGAATTTCAAGATTTTTTTGTGTTCTTAGTAACAAGGTCAGTGGAATATATCTCAGCTGTCTCGTGCTCACCCTACTGGCTTCAGATACTGAAGAGAAAAACATCTCTTCTGACAAGTGAAAACAGCTGAATCATATGTTGTATGTGCTATGTTATTCCAGTTGCTGAAGTCCAGTGGACTTGACTGATTCATCACAGAACTTCACGGGACTGATACACCAGAATGGGGCTTTCCTTGAAATTAAACTCCCTTTTTTTCTACCATCTTAAATGGAAAGATGAAGACTCTGCAGGACAACTTTTGTCATATATCTTGCTCTTACTGTCATTGACCTGGAATCGTTATCCCTCTAAAACCATGCTCCCTCTTCTGCCATGAAGACAAACCTCTTCTAGTTTTAACTTACTCACTCCATCACAACTGGTCCTATCATTACTCTTCCACCTCCCTCCCATCACTGTCTAAAAGTTACCTAGAACTCTGCTCCTCTTCACCACCAAGTGACAATGTGAGCTGGGGTTTTCTGCTCTCTCTCCTGGCTTCATTAGGAAGTAACAGGGATTTCCTCTCCAGAAAATCTTGCCTGTAGCTTCTGCATTATTTCTGCTGTTTAATAGAGAAACAGAAATAATGAGCAAAATGATTTTTACAAAACTACTTGCACTAGGAGCCTATGTGGGAACAAAAACTTGTGTCAGGTCTAGCTTTAAATGATTTGTGTGTGTGTTTAGCTTCTTTTGTTTTGTTGGCTAATTCCCATGGTGTCCCATAAAGAAACTGCTAAATTTCAAATCACTGGAGAAGAACTTTGTTATTACTTTTATTAAGATAAACCTCCAAAAACCAACTGGCCAAACCAAACAAACTCCTCCTCCTGTGACTTTTGGTATTTTTTCATTTCAGATACAATCATGTTTTCAGACCCTGGGTTAGAAAATTATAAAAACAACCACAAAAATATCTCCTATTTTTGGAGTCAATCACAGTGGGTTGACTCTCTGATACTAAGAATACTTTTTTCAGTTTAATGGTGGCTGTCACTGAGTGAAAAATTAGTAAATATTTTTGGATCCTTTTTTTCTACAGGTCTATATGCAGCCTAAACCAAATTATATTCAAGTATTAATCATGGTTTCTTTCACAGTTCAGGAGGAATGGAAATGTGTCTTTACCAGTCCTTCATTGCCTCCCTTCTGAAGCCAAGCCTAACAGTACATTTTCACATAAATTGTTTGCCCATAAATAGAATTAATAGACTTAACCCATTTCAACATTGGTTATATAACCTCAATATTGAGCTGAGGTTACTCCGATAAATTTGGTTTTAAACGTACCACTAAATTTTGTGAGAGAGTTCAGCAAGGTCCAAATGACTTGCTGCATCTCTATAATACAAACCTTCTCTTTTTACAGTACCACTATAATGTAATAGCGATATTTATCAAAAGGAATCTTGATGTTTACAGAACAATAAAACTGTTGGCATTTTCTAGTGTTTTAGAAATTAGGATTAAAAAAGGTTTTCTCTGTTAATATTTTATAGTAAGTAACTTTATTGCAACTGTCATGCCTGTGAGTGGTGCATGGTTCAGAGAGCTAAATAGTAAAAGGCATTATTCTTGTGCTGTTCCAGGAGAGCACACACTCTGCCTTACCTTCTCTCATCACTGTGTCTCAAAAGTTGTCTGCCAATTTTAAATATTCTTGTCTCTCCCTTTCCATCCATGGCATCTGAGCTTTTGTCAGATATTTCCAACAACTGGCTCCTGTGCCATCTTCTTAATCAAATACATGGGTTTACATGTAAAATTATCATCTTAGGTTGTTTATTTGCCATCAGTCTTTACATCTTTCTATTCTCTTGTAGTTTTTTCCCCTTAATTTGATTCCTATTCCTCCACCACCATCCCCCCAAACTGGTATCACTAATACTTGTTCCTGAGAAGTACTCTGGAGAATCATGATCCACATCTTTCTCATAATTTTGATTTGCCTATGGGACCAAGCTGTGTGATGTAATGGACAGCTGAAAGCCTGGGTTCTTGTGGCTTCCCTGGCACAAATAGCATGAAGGAGAAATAGGAGAATGGAAGCAAATAATTGCTTCTCTATCCTTAGTTTCCAAGGCATGTCTGGACAGGTGTATGTAATTCAGTGTTGAAAAGATTCAGGGCAGAAATGGGCCCCTCAGGCAGTTTGGGGAGACTGCTGTGATTTAGACAGGCTTAGGCCTGTATAAGTTAAACTTGAGACACAACCAGCAGCTGGATCTAGCTGAAATCAGGTGAGTATGAAGCAGGGTTAAAAATGCTTTAGGAGCTAAATTTTCCCTTCATATCTTCACTTCTTGTTTTCTCCTTTCCAATCTTGCCATTACGCACTGTGTTCACAAATGGTGAGGATACTTAGAAGAACCGCTACTACTGCCCTGAGTTATTTCTGGCTGAAAACATATGGTACAGAGATTTACCTCCCTGTTTTCCCTCTTATTTTCCTGATTCAGAAAAAACAAAAGATGTCCCCTAATTTGACTGCTTAGTTGGGCTTATGAGAACAAGTTGAACAAAGTCTTGGGATTTTAGAAGAATCTTTGTGTTTGTTTATAAGTAAAAGGCAGTATTTTAATGATTGAGGAAAGCAGACATAGTTGTCTCTTCTAGCAGGTTCTATAGGAAGTAGTCAAAGGAGATCACAGATACAACTTTGTTCACCCTAGGGAAAAAAAAATTGTTGTAATTAAAACCTCCAATTGTTATAAACATACTTAACAATTACTGATGAATGCTAAAGTGAGGATGAATACTTCCAGTAAATGCATCTCCGTGTTGAAAACTGACTCATTTTTGTTGTCATAAAAATATCACAGGCTATTGTAATTTTTTACTCATTGTTCTGTTGCATGGTAGATTGTGTTGTATGAGATTAGACGGATTAGTGCTTTAAAGCAGAAGGAGATGTGGCAGCCCCACAAAAATGAGATGTTTTAAGTCCTAGGTCTTAGGATCCTTTTAATTTACTTTGTTTAATAAGTATGAAGAAATGGGAAAACTCAGAATGCCTTGAGGATGATTGTTCTGGTCTGTCAGTTTTCTTTTTATTAGTATTGGAATTGGGAGAAAAATTATTAAAAAATCTATGAAGGTTTGCACAGATTTAAAAAAAAAAAAAAGAAACAATCAAACCTTCCTTGACAGTAAATTTAAAACATATGTGGAGATTGCTTTGTCTCATTTCATTTGTCCTACTGTATCATTAGAGAAAGAGAAGTTTTCTGTGGTTACAGTAAAAGGCAGCCCTAGAAGGCTAATCAAATTGATAGAATTGAAGAGTTCTCTGAAATAATATACAGATTCTAGGAGGATTTATCTGTGGCTAAGGAACTAAAGAAAAGATGAAACTTATTTCTTGGAGTGACTGGGCCCATTAAATTGTTAAGCCAGTAAAGATAAGTTGTTGACACAGGCAGATCTTTGAAAACGGAGTGCTTGATTTTGGTGCAGGAGAGGGCAATAGTCAGTGCAGGAATTCAACGGTCACTGAATAGAGGAAGAATAACGTAGGTACAGGATTCTGGATGTACGTGAGAGAGGTAACATGAGAATCGGAAAGAGGGAAAGCTGAGGGATCACTCAAGTAGGAACCAGGAAAATCAACAAGATGGATGGAAAGAAAGGGACCCTTCAGAAGGAAAGTAAACCAAAAAACTGACCAGCGTAACATAAAGGTGTAAAGAGAACAAAGAGGAGGAGATTTCTGGTCAAAACAAGAGCTGTTTTATAGCAAGTCATTTCTAGTGAGCTAGTCCCATAACTGCTTGAGGAAATGCAGTTGTTCTGCTATCACAATAATTTTAGGTTTAAACAGGAAATACTGTGCAATTGAGAAAGTGCACATCTTTTTAAATTTAAATAAGAAGTGAGGATTGAAAGAGCCTTTCAGTCATTAGAGGTATAAAACATGTATTTCAACTTAAATCATAAAACATGCAGTTTGAATCTCAGTCTTATTTAAAAATATTTTCAGGTGTGAGAAACAAATTAAAACTAAAATCTAGCCTCTACTGGCAAAGATCAGAATATCAGCATAGCATGAATTAAAAAAAAAAAAGTACAAAAGAATGTTTAAGAGTAAAAAAGTTGAAGGTATCTTGCATTACAAATCATATAATCTAAAGAGAAATTGTTAGGGAGCTATTCCTTTCCATACGCCATGAAGCAAGAAAGGTGAAAACTTCCATAGCATTTGGAATTTGTTGAAAAGCAAATGGTTGACATCTAAGGTTCACTTCTAACCTCAGGTAAGTCTCTACTTATACAAATAACCTAAAAATACTATCTTGCCTGTGGGTATATTTTGAAATGGAGAAGACTTATAGCAAGGATAAAGTAGCATTGCAGTGTCCTGTAATTTTCCCATAAGCAGGAAATCATTATTTATAGATACCTCAAATGCTTTTGAATTCAGAGATCCAACAAATCTCATCTAAAACAAGCTGCAAGTAATAGCCTCAATGTATCTAAATTCTTCAGATAGAAGCTGTATTTCCCTGTATTGTGTTTTCAGTTATGAAGCTATGTTCAGACTCCCAAGTTGCCAAATTATTAATCTCTGTAAGTTTGGTGGTGTGTTTTTTTGTTTTTTTTTTTTTCAAAAGACAGAAGGCTAAGGCAAAGACCTATCACCAGGCAGTTCTCGAGAATAACCAGTAATTTTGAGTGTTTTGATGCTTGTATCTGAGATACCGTGGGCATGCATTTCAGAAGCGTAGGCACTGCCAGTTCTTATTGCAATGCGTGTGCAGCATAGATGAAGATCAGCCTTGAAAGGTTTTCTTCTTTTTCAAGCGTAGGCACCTTTGGGGAAGATTCTGGCTTTTCATGGATATGTTCAAGTACACACAGAGACCAGACTGTGCTGTTGCTACAGTCAACTCCAGTGTCAGTTCTGTTATGCGAGTTGCAGTCAAATTTCAAACTATTCAAATTTCAAACCTGTTAGGTTAGTTTTAGTAGGGGGCAACATATTTCCAAATTGTCCTGTTGTCCATATATCACATAGCAGCTCTGCTGGCCCACTGAGCAGGGCTTGGAACAGGACTGCACAGAAAGTTTGGAAAGATGTGAAAGCATGTGAAGTTAGTGGTGTGTTTCTACAGGCAGTTACTGCGGGACAGCCAATGTGCTGGAATTTTGATGCTCTCTGAGGCCATGACAGCTTTTTAATCTGCCTGTTCCTTATAGTGGTGGTTAACACATTTAAATTTGTGCTCTGGTACATGGTAGAGGGGAAGAATCACTTCCTGCAGCCTGCAAACTTTGAGAAGCTTCCCCCCCCCCCCCAAAAAAAAAAAACCCAAAACAGTGTAAAGAGATATAAACCCAAATTTTTGTCAGTGTAAATTAAGCCTTTTTTTAAAATCTGTACTTTTTTACTTCACAGAAAGTTAAATGAAAATAAATGTTTGATGCAAAATAAAATCCTGAAGGCTGAGAATAAAGTGACAATGCTATTGTATTTTTCCTGGATATGAGGATAATTTGGGATTTTTAATTATGATATCAGAGAGGGAAAAGAAAAAAGAAAGAATTGGGGTAGTGAAATCAGTGAAAACTGGTCTTGTTTTTAACTGGTCAAAGTTTTAAGACTGGAATTCTTCATACGTGGACTTGCACTGGCCAGCTGTTACACATGTACTCTGAGATAGCAACTGCCTCTTTATGTGTCTTTCACAGTGTCGGTGCTTTTGATTATTACCAATTTTATCAAGTCATATGTAAAAATAAGTGAAGTTGAGACTTATTCCTGGTTTTAGGTATAAATCAGAATTGCCTACACAAGGAGCTGGAGTTAAGCTGGTATAAAATGAGAAGCTGCAAATGCATTATGATGTTGGTGAAAACACTTTTAACCATGACCTCAATATATTTTCTTTTTTCTTTAAGAGGTGAAGGCACGAATACTCTTGGCACTTCTTGAGTATACAGGTAATTTTGCTTGTTTGGGGAGTGGGAGAAGTGAACATGGATGGTTTGAGATTTTTTTTTTGCTTTCGGACAAAAGTGGTTTGTATTTAGAGAAAAGGGAAAAATCTCAGATACGATAACCTGATAATCAACAACTTTACCCCTGCATTTACAGTGAGGACTCCTGAAGAACACAACAATTCCAAAGACATTTCTAACAAACATTGCACTTTTTTTTTTTTTTTTTTTTTTTTTTTAATGCAAAATACCTTTTCTGGTAATTTACTTTGGATCTTGGCAGATGAAGTAACTACTAAATCACTGAGCTTGTGCACAGTACTTCTGCTGTCTTCTTTTGGGCTTTTTCCTATTTGTTATCTTTTTTCTTTTCTCTTCATTCCCAACTATTTCCAGGCTTACCTTACTATTCTAACCCATACCGTTCCTTTTACCTTTTTTTTAGAGAATATATTTTTTTTAAGTCCCTCCTTTTTGGAAAGGGTCTGATTATTTTTTGTATTTTTCTACCATCACCCCATACAGCTTCAAATACACAAAGTAGGCATGTGTGTCTGCAAAATAAATGTCAGTAAGTTAACATTTAGAAAATAATACTTATGGCAGAAGATTCTCTACAGTTTTTAGGTGCATAAGTGTTCAAGTCAGCAGTCACATTTGACTATAAAAGCTGATTATTTTAATAATCTTGCAGCACTATATGAATGCATTATTATTTCATTATTTTGTTGTGACTCATGACAGCAGTTTTATAAAGGGGATTCTAATGTTACTTTGTTGTCAGATTTCTTCCAAATATTATAGAATTTTTTAGTAATTCCTCAGGTGTTTTAAAATAAGAAGTGACCTGAGAGAATGCCCCAGACTTGATTTTTTTAAAAGTAGTTTTCCCTGTTTACATGGTTCCGTAAGTTCTTAAGTTGTATAGTTTGTTTTGTATAAAAATCTTTTTGTAAAAAGAGCCCGAAGTGCTCTTGTAATGCAGTATCTGATGTTCAAATAGTATTAAATGAGATGTGGAAATGAGGTGTTGGAGACACAAGAGGACTGCTTCAGAAGCAGGCAGTACAGAGGGAGGCACTGAAAGTCAGCTGCTGTTAGACAAACAGAGATAAAATTGAGCAAAGTGAGGAGAGAGAACGTGTGCTGAGCAAAAATCCCTGAGCGCTGCTGTGACATTGGGAAGTGTTTGACCATGGAGAAGCCAGTGGGATTTTTGAAGCTGGAGATGGCTGGAGTTTTTCAAAATGAAATTTCTGTCTGTACTGGATTCTGCACAACTTGAGAGAGTGGGAAGAGAGGGGTTAATTTTAATAAAACAAAAGTGAGTCACAGTGCAGAAGCAGTAGTGATTAGGCCATTTATGGAGAACATTCCTGAGGTCCTGAGAGGCTGGCAAACAGAATCAAAATGATAGTAAAGGATAGTAAAAGATAGTACAAGAGTGGTCACTATTATCAATAGTTGAGGAAAAGATTGAAGACAATCTCAGAAGGAAAACAGACAGAATGAAGTTACTTTCAGAAAGACTTGGAGTCCAAGAAAAGCGTATTTTTAAAGTCAGTATTAATTTTATGAGTATAGAACTTGCCAGCTCCATAGAGAAGGTGGAAAAGGAGCTAAGCCTCTTAGAGGCAGAGGAATCTTAAAAGTGAGGACAAAGATTTTAGGCTTCGGAAAGACCTTGATATCACCTAATCTTCTTCTCCTGCTCTGAGAAAGATTAAGTCTACCTGTACCATTTGTGATTGATGTTTGCCTAACAGCTCATAATGATAAAAATACTTGAAGACCTTCAGAAAAGAGGAGAAGAAGGAAGCACTGAATATTTATCACCACAATTCTGTGCTTTATTGAGAACATGTTTCCCTTTCTAACTCTTTTGACCTTTAGCTAATCTAATGCCTGTGCCCTCCAGAATAAATTGGTAGGTTAGCTTGTCCCTAATTTAAATCAGCTGCTAATGGTTCCATAGGCTTCTACCTCGGGACCTGTCCTGGACTTTCCTGACACCATAAATCCCTGCTGCTTCCTGGATACGTGATGCTGCTCAGTGGTTATTTTATATGGTTTCATATTCGTATATATATATATAGTATTTGGATAGATTGTGTTCTGGTAGCAACATTCCTACATGCCCTGTCTGCATTTTGCAGCAGGCAGTCTTCATCAGCCCTGCCCTGATGGTAGCTGTGGAGTTGACCAGATGATGCAGTCGTATTAAGAGCTTCTGTCTATCCTTGCTTTCCTGTGGAAAGTAAATGTTTTTGTGCCCAGCTGGTTCTCACGTTGCAGCAAAGAGATCCGTCTCACATCTGTCACCTTGTAACATCAAAAGTACATTGATGGCATGTACATTAAAATTACAAGATAAACATAACATTGTTTAGAAGAACAACTTTAAATTCCAGTATTTAAATACATTTCTATATAATTTTAGAATTATAAAATAATCTTTTAATGTGGAAAGTAGCAGTTTTGGTCGTGGAGTGCTATTTAATGGGAATAACATCAGGCTGTAAACTTGTAATTTACTTTACATTAAAATGACTTGGTTTTTAGACAAAAAAATCCAGGCCAGTTCCTTTGCTGTTAATTAATCTCCTGTTCCATTTTTGCGTTTTCTCTTTTTATCCCTCACAGATAGCGAGATACAACTGAGGCGAGACATGGTATTCTGTCAGAGCCTAGTGGCCACAGTCTGTGCTTTTTCAGAGCAATTAATGGTGGCCTTAAATCAGATGTTTGACAACAACAAAGAATATGAAATGGAGACACTGGAGGCCAGCAGAAGGTGGTTGGAACAGATAGCCAGTGCAGGTCTTCTCCTTCATTTCCAGTCCCTGCTCTCTCCTAACCTGGTAAGGCTCCTCAGGTCGCGTGCTTGGTCACAGCCCGTGTTTGTTCCCTGTACCAGGGGCATGGTTAAACGGTCTTAGTTATAGATGTGATTTTCTGTGTCCTTTGTGCTTAGCTTGTTACTTAATTAGCTGCTATTTGGAAAATGTGCGATTTAGATAATTACAGATATGGGAGGTGTTTGTTTGTGATATGGGAAATATGTTTTCCACAAAGACAGTATTAGGTTTGTTTTGAGTTAGCAGATAGTGAGTTTACCCTTGACTCCCCACTGCTATTGTAGCTGTTCCCTAGGAGTGAATGTAGTATTAGGTGATAACCAGAACTTCAGTTTGAAGTGAGCAACAATGCAAGATAAATAGAAAACCTGGTTAGGATAATTTTATCACTCCCCCCCCCCAAAAAAAAAAAACCAAAAAAACCACAATTAGGTCTATAGTAGTTGAAGGACTAGACATGCTAGTCTGTTTTGCTCCTGTCATAGGGCAAATTCCTCGTAGCCTGGAAGGGTAATTGGAAATCTGCTAATTCTTCACGTGGCTTGGCAAAGAGCCATGACTTAAGAAACAATTAAAAAAAGGACATGGCTTTGTAGTCCTCTAATCCCCAGTTATCCAAAGTGCTTCTTCAGCTATTTAAGCTGCTTCTCACACTAGACTGGTTCCTGATAACCTGAAGAACTGTGAAGCAGTCTGCACAGTCTGCTCCATGGCAGTCTTCTCAACCTCTGGAGTTGCTCATTGAAAATAACTGATTTGGTACATCCTACTGTGTAAAAGTCCATGCAAATAATAGATGAAGTTCCTAGTATCAAAGGTCTTCTTTTCTTGCCCTGTCTATCTCAGCAGCAAATTGCTGACAAATTGACCTGATAAAATTTAGGAGTAGAAGAGATTAATAAAAATAAAGGTATTTCAAAATGACAATCATAAAGTATTAGTCTATGGTATTGTTGGAGAGAATTGACTTGAGCTAGTGTGAGCAATTGCCTCACAGGTAGTTGCAGTACCTACGTAGGCTTGTGTGGGACGGGGTGTCTCAGGATGAGGCGTGCAGCTTTAAAACAGATAAGGTCAGTGCCTGAGAGAAACAAGAGGGCTCTCTGTCTGCATGAAGAGTATGTGAAGAAAGCGTGGTGGAGCACGAGTCTTGTAAGGAGTGGCTGAGGGAACTGGGGTTGTTTAGTCTGGAGAAGAGGAGGCTGAAGGGAGACCTTATCGCCCTCTACAACTGCCTGACAGGAGGCTGTAGTGAGTTGGTTGTTGGTCTCTTCTTCCAGGCAATAGGCGATAGGACGAGGGGAAATGGCCTCAAGTTGCGCCAGGGGAGGTTTAGGTTAGACATTAGGAAAAACTTCTCCACTGAAAGGACTGTCAAGCATTGGAACGGGCTGCCCAGGGAAGCGGTTGAGTCCCCATCCCTGGAGGTATTTAAAAGCCAGGCAGACGAGGTGCTTAGGGACATGGTTTAGTGGTGGGATGGCAGTGTTAGGTTAACGGTTGGACTTGATGATCTTAAAGGTCTTTTCCAACCTGAACAATTCTATGGTTCTATGATTCAAGGGAGCTTGGGCTCATGTCTTGAGTCTCGGATGCTTTTTAGTACCATGCAGCACCAACATGTCCTGGTGCTGGAGTCCTCAGAGTTCAAGAGTAAATTCACGTTATCACAAAATAACTGTTGTCTTTACAGCACTGAATACTTCTAGTTTTTCTTTCAAGATTGTAGAGATTTCCTTTGTAGTGAAAATGCATGCTACTTAGCTCTTTTCACATAATACCAGTGGTATGCCTTGTCGAATTGAAAATAAAATTAAATTCAGTTTCTTCTCTCGAACTGTTCTTAACCAAGGGAAAAGTATTTAAAGGCAACTTTTTCAATACCTTCTCAGCACTATTTTGCTTACAAATGATCCATGTTATTTTAAACAAGGGTATTGGAAGGAAATTACACTCATTATGGCCAGAGTTCAGTAAAGAATGAGCAGTTGTGCAAAGATTTCCCATGTCACTGAATGGTTTTCAACTGTTCTGATAAAACTGCTCTGTCCATGGAGACTTCATAAATTGAACTAAGAGACAAAATATTTCTAGAAGCTTTGCTTTTTCATAAATACAAGGGGGAATGCTTTTCACTATATAGATCAGGGAAAATCACAGGGTTTTTTTTTTCCTTTCTGTAATTCGGTATGCTATAGTTTATTCTTATTTTATAGGCAGCTAGTTTATTATTCTGTGCCTTCCTACCATTTCAGTTCTTAGAGGAGGAAAAATGCATGCCTCAGGTTTCCATTAGGCTCTTGCTAACTTTAGGTGCTAGAGGAAGGTTGTATAAAGAACAGAATTACTTTAAGTGATTATTGATTTCTGGTACAATTGCTCTGCATATTTAACTCAAGATAACCATACTTGCAGATGACTATTTTCCTTTTTAAAGGTTCAGTAAAGTATCCTGAGAAGTTAGCAATTTACTTCCTTAAGCTTTTTTGGTAAATTAGTCTGGATCTCTCTAGCTGAGGAGTACACAGAGTGAACCATAGGTGCAAACCAGAATATTGGCATATCTACATACTTGATTTGCATCTAGAGTTTTGTAGGTAAAGGTGTAAATTGCCCTGAGCTGTAATCATTCTGAGCTGCTGGGTCAATTATTGGTGCTTAGAGTGGACACGAGGAACTCTCATCTGTCATTTATATATAGAAATGCTAAAGTTATGGCATTTTCTAAAGAGAACTGCTAAAAAGAATAATTTGTTTTTCACATTTCCCCTCTGTTAATTTACAAGCTAGACCTGGTGTCAAGAGAAACTGTTGAAGTCCCATATCTTCCGTAAAGGGTAATTACAGTATTGTTTGATTAAAAGCCATGAGAAGTAATGGTAGATATAAATTACCTATTAATTTACTATGTGAAATGATAACATTCATTTTAATAATCTTGGACTAGTAAGAAAAGGGAAAGTGCCAATAGAAACAAAGATATTTAGATTATCTAGGAGTTAATTAGATTATACACTTCATCAGTGAAATGTTGTGCAACATTCTGTAGTTACTTTTATGTACTGCTCTCATATTATTTCTGATAGGGAAAACATCTGGCAGAAATGACCATTTCACTTTTCTATTGCCTTTTTTAGGCTGATGAGCAAGCCATGCTAGAAGATACATTGGTTGCACTGTTTGACTTGGAAAAAGTTACTTTTTACTTCAGACAATCAGAGCCAGAACCACTAGTTGCAAGTGAGTAATTATAATTAATATCTGGGCTTTACTGTTCAGAAACATGTTCTGTATTTGTAACATTTTTCTCCCCCAGAACATTACCTCCCACAGGGAATATTATATAATTTGGGATTGTGGAGAATTAGTAGATCTGTAGCTCTCCTAATATTCCTAGATTTCCTGAAATACAGCTAACATCAGTGACAAGGCAGAATGTGGCAATTTCAGTAACGTTGAGGGCAAAACTGTTTGTTTAACTGAATTTTCCACCGGGAGTATGTGACTGCATCAGAGAAGTCCCTGGAAGATCTAGTTGTTATTGCAAAGTCATGTGTAAAATAAGCTTTGAAGGTCTTAATGCAGAAATGCAACTGAGATGAGATGGAGAAGCATAAAAACCATTTCATTTTATCATCTGAAAGACAAAGTAGATCTTGGAAGAGTTCCTTGGAAGGAGATGGCAAACAATATTAGGATAGCTTTAAATTGTGCAAGAAATTTCCTCTGAGACCTGCTGGTGCAGACGATCAGGGTCCTGAACGCTTCCTCCCAATACTTGCCCAACTCTTAGGGAGGGACTGTCTTCACAGGCTGCTCTTTATACCCTTCACTCATTTTCAGCCAGTCCTTTCTTAATATGTTTTCAGCCAGTAGAGATTTTCCTGCAGTGAACTTTGTTTAGTGAGCAAAAAGCCCTCATTTTTCCCTATGTCTCATAACTCCCCTGGGAAGGGAGGAAAGCATGTCTGCTTCACATCAAGCTTTTCTAGAACAATTCCCTTGCCGGATTGAGACCACACATGAGAGAACTTCTGCAATAACCAAAGCCAGAAGACATAAAGCTCCTCCACAAAGCTGTCTGTGCTCCAAAGAATTCAGTAGCGCAGGGCTGGTAGTCAGGCAGGAATTAGCCTAGATAAGACCATATTTATTTCTGTATAATTCAAGTAAGGACCCTGTTCAGAGTGTTTGTTTTAAAAAGAAGCCCTGTCAAGCCAGGTAACAACATGGAACCGGAGTTACAGGAGGGCCTCTGTATGGGGAGTTAACCCTATGCCTATGTCATGAACTGTTCGTATTGCTGTATCTTCCACCTGAGGTGTCTGTGCTAAAACAGATAAATGGCAAATCCGTGTGTTCTAAGATTGTAATAAACTCCGTATTTTCTTTTGGTTGAAGTGCTGCCAGCACAGTCATCCTGACTGTGGTTACAGAAGACAACGAACTGGCAATTTTTTTTTCCATTTGTGATTCTGCATAATCAATAAAAGAACAAGAAGGCTTTTTCTTACTACCAAAAATAGTGAGAAAAATATTTCTTTGGAATCTTTTCCATTTAGGTACAAGATAATTTACACACACGGTGTAAAAACTACATAATAATACTATTAATGCAAATCACTAGATTTTATTGTTACTGCTTTCAACTTTGAGACTTATGGGTGGAAACAATACTTAAACAGGAAATAAATACAAAGCTTAAATTGAATTAAACTGACTTCCTCTGAGACATTTAGCTAAATGGAAAATTTTCATCAACTTTTGCTCTACACCAATTGATGCATTATGACATTTAGTTTGTCAAAGTGTAATGAAATGTTCTGTTACAGTTTTATATATTCTACCATAATACATCTGTTTTCTCAGTTGAGTCCTGATTTTTAATAATTTAATGAATATGCTGGTAGCTATTCTATATTTACTTGTGTTCTGTCCCACACAAATCTGAGGAGAATCTGACTCTATATATCACACTGGCCTTATACGTCATGCACCTGAGGAAGGCATGTGAAATATGGCTAAAGGTATCTTTCCAGTGATTTCAAACTATGTGCTGTACGTAGGTGTTTCTTCAGATTTACACAGAAAACAAGTAGGATGTTGCCAACTACATTATTTGCTTAGTATTTTTGCTGTCATTGAGAGGCTGGCAAAGATGACAGTCACTGCTTTTCTCTTTATCTGTTTCCTGATAACAGGCCAAAAGTGACCACAGCAGCACTGAGTATAATGTAAAATACTGCATGTACTAGTTTTGTGTCTGCAGTGATTTTTTTTTTTGTCTAACAGTGTGAATTTTGGGTGCAACAGTTTCTGGAAAAGGACGTGTAATTGCTTTTAATGAAATAGTAACACTGTCTGTATTCTTAGATGTACCAATCACATACCAAGCAGAAGGAAGCCGGCAAACCCTGAAGGTTTACTTCTACCTTGATAGTTACCATTTTGAACAGCTTCCTCAAAGGCTGAAGAATGGAGGAGGATTTAAAATCCACCCAGTACTTTTTTCACAAGGTAACTTGAGTTTTAATCCCGCCCTGCCAATTCTTTCACATAATATTTGACTGCCTTTGAAACCCTACTTATTCACTCTGCTTTAAATCCTTTGTAACTATAAGGGCACAATGCTTATATTTAAATATGTTGTTCAATGTGAGCATTTATTGAGGACTTTGAATTAAAATGTGAATTTAAGAAATGCTGCAGTTTGTGATTAAAAAATAGAGGCGTGGGTATACATTTCTAAGTTTACACCTGTTATATGATTCCAACACCAAAGAATGAATCCTCTTTCATTGGTATTGTTTTGTTCTTTGTAGACATTAGCAGACAACAGTCAGACCATGAAACTTGCTTTTAAAGTGTTCTGCGTTCCAAATGCTATCGTAATCTTTTCCTGTTACTTCAGATCTAAGGACTAAATTGTTATCCCCTGAGAATACTGTCTCTTTAAAATGTTATGAAGACTTAAATAATGTTTTCAGGCTTTTGTACAGGCTTATGACACTGCAAACGTTGCCGAAGTGATGAATGGTGGCGCTGATGCTCAGACTGTTCATAAATTGTAGGCAGCCTGCATTAGCTGCAGTGTCATTACAGTCATCAGGAGCGTGGAGTTTGATTCACTGAAATGGTGAAAGCGAGATGCTGATTGCCTTGAGCCGCCTTTGATTTCAGAGGGAGCTGAAAGTACTCCGTACCTTGCGAAAGGCTTCCAGGGTCTACGTGGAATAGGCAGAAGTCAGGCATACAAATGAAGGTTTCAAGAAGGGTTTGGTCTCTGACAGATAAGGAGAATGTAAAAGGAAATAGCAAGCAGTGAGATACATGAAGAAATAGCCGAATTTACTGTAAACTTAAAACACACAATTTTTTAAAAATAAGATCCCTGAAATCTGATTTTTAAACAAACTAATAAAGACACAATTCAGTGGATTTCTTTTGAACAAATTTATTTCAGTCATAGGGGAAAATGAGAACACTGAGCAAAGAGACACATTTCAGTAGAACAGACAAGAAGGAACATGAAAGAGAACAGAAAACACCTTGGTTCAGATGAAATCCTGGAAATACTGATATTTTTAGATTTGGGAGGAGGTTCAGTGTGCTACAGAATTTTTTTTGGAGAATGTTTTTCCTTTCTGTTTCCAGAAGCCCAAAATATTTGAGTCTTAGGAGAAGCATCTTTGTAGTCAGCTGAACGAAAATGCCTAAAATACAGTGGTTTATGATGTTTTCAAGTGGAACATTTAGAAAATCACGGGTTTGGAATACTTTATCAAAGGCACAAGTCAGTGCACATCCGTCAGTTTATCTCTGTGTTGCACAGCTCCATGGCTAAAACTGCAAGTCTATATATTTCTGGGATTGGGACTGTAGATATTCTTAAAAGGTTTTAAATGTCTACCCAGGCTATATTATGTATCCCAGTTTGTACAACCATATACTTAAGTGTATGCATTCAAAAGGATCTTGATTTGCAGGATTGGGGTCTGCAAATGTTGAGATGTTGCCCTGGGCATTCAGATTTCTCAATTTCTTATGTTAGAATTGAGTTCTCAGCAATAAATAAACATATTTAAAAGACACTTTATTTAAAATTAAAAAATATTTAAAATTGCTACCTAGTCTCTTAATTATGAAGGGTTTTTTAATTTTTTAGTTTTCCATAGACTCCTAGAATAATTCAGATTGGACAGGACCTCAAAAGGTCTCTAGTCCAACCTCCTGCTCATAGCAGCATTAGCTGTGACATCAGACCAGGTTGCTTGGGTGTTTATCAAGTAGGATTTTGAAAACACCTAAGGACAGAAAGTGCAAAACCTCTTGGGTAACCTGTTCCTCTACTTGACTGCCCTAATGGTGAAAAAGTGTTTTCTTTCTATCAAGTTGTTTCAATTTATGTCCACTGCCTCTTGTTCTGCCAGCATGCACCGTGGTGAAGAGCCTGGCTCTGCCTTCTCACTGACCTCTTGGTAGCTAATGGCACCCTGGCTATTAGGTCTTCCCAAAAGCCATCACTTGTAGAGGTTGAACAAGCTCAGGTCCCTCAGCCTCTCCTCACAGAGTGTGCTCCACCCCATGACCATCTCTGTGTCCCTCTACTCAGTTCTTTCCAGTTGATCAACAGCTTTTGGGTACTGTGGGGCCCAAAACTAGACAGAGTTTAGTGTGTGAATAAAACTATTCAAGATGCTATTTAATGAGTCTTGAGTAAAGTGAGGACAAGCACTTCTTTTGGACTACTGGACATACTTATGTTAATACAGTTTAGGATGCCCTTGGCCTTCTTGGTTACCAGAGAACACTGCAGGCTCTTGTTCAGCTTGCTGTCTAATGTGACCCCAAGGTGCTTCTCAGGAGAGCTGTTCTTTAGGCTCTGCCTTCCCAAGTGCAGGACTTGACATTTGTCCTTTTTCAGTTTCACAAGATTCCTGC